CGCACGTGTACGTGCACACGCACGCACGTGTACGTGCACACGCACGTGTACGTGCTACTTTAGAGAGCAGGTAGGTTAATTAATTTACCTTTCTATCAGATCAGCTTTCCTCCCAGATGTCTTTGTACCTCTACTTTGCAACTCTGATTTCAATTCATTTACGGTTTTCCCTTCGTAACTAGACGCCATTGTTTAGCAGTGATACCGAACAGTGCACGCGCGCCATCTATCCAGCGATTAGTAAATGGCTAACCTCATTGAGGACGAATCCCGAACCTATGAGGATGTGAAATCCATAGCGGGATTATAGGGGATGTTTGCCATAAATTTTTGAGAAGTTAGGTCCCTATAGAGATGCATTTTCCTGGCATCTGTGTACACAATTCATGGTTGTTATAGTAATTGTATACTTTTTTATTGCATTTTTTTATTTTCACTTTCATCGTCTCAAAAAGTGTTGGGGGGGGCTGACTTTTCGCCCTGTCCCACCTGGCTACGCTACTATAATGTTGTCGCTACGCGCGCTTAGATAGTATGATGGATATGTTTCTCATTTGAAATATTGTGCTCACAGCGTCAACAATACACACTTAGATTATTAAACAATATTAACTTAACTCTAAAAGATAATATAAATAATCAAACTAATTCAAACAAAAGGCTTGGGATGTGTCATTTTCGGCGGTCTATGTAGTATTATTAAGCACGTTGGAATTTATATTTTCTGCTAATTAGGAAAGATTTGTAGCAATTTTGCGCGCTACGTTCCAGTTAGTCAACTGCTTAAAAGTGTCATGGCATTTGCTTCGAATCCCTTGAGGTATACAAATACAATTAAAATATGTCGAAATCATAGCACCATTTTGCGTCTAAGCCCCTCTGAAAGAGCAAAAATTTCTGTACGCTGCGCGCCAACTTAAGGTGGCGCTCCGCTTAGATGGTGGATGGACATGGACCCCCCCTTTAAGAAAAAGCTGGATCCGTCCATGGATGTTCTAGTTGATCTGTTCTGGCTCGGGAGGCTTAAGATTGGCTCTGGAGGTCATTTTGGCCCGATTCGAATTTTGAATCGGGAGCAGATCGGGTCGGATAGTGTGCGGGGCCTTACGACGCGACTCGGATAGTGTGCGTGGCCATCCGACCCGATCGGCGTGCGCTGAAGAAAATTGACCAATCACAGAGCAGCGCCATGTGAACCGCATTCGAATGGAATGGCATTCGAACCATGGGAAACACTCCCGACCCTTAGTACACGCTAAATCCGCTGGGAACGCCACGAGAGTGCCATGGTTTGCGTCAACTTTGAGTCGGGCAGTGTGCGGTGGCCTCCCGATCGATCGGGAGTGGGTCGTATAGTGTGCGGGGGCTTAGTGCTGTGCACAGTGAAAAATCGGATAGTGTGCGGCTAGCATTATTAATCCTATTTCTTCGTTACACAGCTAAGAACAATCGATCGTGCGGTGTTATATAATTATGTCGCCAATTCCACGCGATACAACCAAAGAGTGCATCTTATGCCAGACGGGTAAACGATAGCGAGAATGGTTGTACGTGTGTAGACTGCATGTGTAAAGTTGAAATAAAGAGTCATCGTTCGGATACCGTATCGGCCACGTACGACTCTACTAGATTGATTTTGAGACTATGCGAAGTGTCATCGTATAGAAGCTACACCCCCCCCTCCCAGCGACAATACAAAATGTCTTTAGGACAGAATCTCAAACCGCGGTTCGTTTTGTTTATCGAGTATGCGTCACTTACCGCCTCCACTTCTAAAGCAAATGTAAGGAAATCGCCAGATGTTACCGACTCCAACTGCATAGCCCACACAGCTCAGAAAGAAATCCATCGATCTTGTCCAGTTGCCACGAGCTTCATTGTCATCGCATCCTTTCGGTGACGTCACTCGCTTCTTTAGTGATGCATCGGAGATGTTACCGCCCGCCATCGCGCTCGAACATCAATGTTTTTCTATCTGTAAATGTAGACGAGGGCGCGGGGACTGTGTTTACATACTACGCGTTATCAACAAATCGCATTTCACGTGCGTTCCAAGCGCTCGTTGCTCTTTGAACGTTATAATATGTCATACGCGTTTCTACGTAGCTTATTTTAACGCTTCTTTTTCTTTCTTTTTAACGCATACAGTAAAGAAATAGAACCTCCGGCGGATAGGTGCACCCGCTGTAGATTCGTGGTGACGGCTCTCAATACATGGCGAAAATTATTAAAACACATTTAAGTAGTTCGATTCACTAAACAACGTATACGTTCGTGTATCCTGTAACTGATGGAGAGAGAGGGGGACGAGAGGGAGAGTGATTCGGAGAGAAAGAGAGAGAGAGAGAGCGGGAGAGAGAGAGAGAGAGAGAGCGGAGAGGGACAGCAAGAGAGAGTGAGTCACCCTTTACCCTTTCTCCATAACAATTAGAATCAGTGGGGAAAACGTCTGCCGATATGACTTACGATTTGGAACATGAAGCACAGCACGTTATATGTTAAAAATAATGCCGATTCTTCTAAGCCTATTCGAGTCTATTTCCCGATGCTAATTCATAAATATGTATTAGATTAGCGGATATGAGGGCATACGAAAACAAACGTCTCCCGCTATGCTATGGGCAGGTTTAGTATGATTAGGCACTGTATGATTATTTAGGAGACCGGTGAGTATATGTGCTTTCTAAATAAAACGAATAATTTCAGCAAAACAATATTTCATTTATTTGATAAAAGGTAAAAACACAACTGCTTATGTCCTGTCATCATATCATGCCATCTATTGGTTGATTTAAATGTTATTATTGTTACATCGACCGGGAAGACTTGGCACCTAATCATTATTAAATTTATTTTTAATTTAAGCTACTTAATAATTATTTGCTCTTCTTTCTCTTTCTCTCTCTGTCTGTGTGTCTCTCCCTCTCTCTCTCTCTCTCTCTCTCTCTCTCTCTCTCTTTCTTTCTTTCTATCCCCTTCTCTCTCTCTCTTTCTCTCTCTCTCTCTCTCTCTCCCTCTCTCTCTTAAAATTAACATTGGCGATACGTACGAAATTACCAAGTATTTGTCCTTTTTCTTCCTTTTTCCTATTTTTCCCATATGCGCGTAATCTTGATCATGAGTACGTGCAAACACCTGTGCCTATATAATATCAATCAGTTGATAGATTTAATTGATAGAATTAAAGCAATATTAGTTGTTGTTGGTAAGTACCTTCTGTTACAATCCAACGATATTCTTATCGTTCCTTATATACACGTAGGCACTTCCGCTCCCTAATAAAGCATTGGCATCGACATTAACCTATAGTGGTTTTCTGTTTGCGTAAACAAGTAGAATGTGAATTTCTAGTTATTTATTTAAAATTACTGATGTAAACGAATTATAATGATTGTGTTTTTTGGCACCGAAATGTTTCTGCGATAATCTAATTTCAGTTTGTTTGCTTTAATTTTTCGCTTTTGCTGTCGTTTTCTTGTTGGTATTCATAATTAAAATAGAAGCGCACGTCTGTTCTGAACCGAATAACAACGGTCCAACTAAGAACAATCGATCGTGCGGTGTTATATAATTATGTCGCCAATTCCACGCGATACAACCAAAGAGTGCATCTTATGCCAGACGGGTAAACGATAATAGGTCAAACAAGCAACATGTGTCTATATCAAAATAAAACTGGCAACGTACGCATTACTAAATTAATTACATTGTTTTAATTTCCTTTAGTTTAGAATGCTATTAAAACACTTTGTTTCGCGTCGTACCGCATAAATCCAACATAATCTGACAGTGTAATAACACATATGTAATAACACATAGTCTGATAGTGACTATACTACTAGGCGGTGACAACAGCTTGACAACAGAGATGCGTGGTTGAGCAATTGTGACATTGTTATGGCCACATTGATAAAAATTATAACACAGCTATAAATATATATAAAAAAGATATCATGATCATATTTGCCATATAAGGTGCTCCTCATTATCAGTAATCTACATGTGCAAACAATATTTATAAATTGGTATCGTCAGTTAATAAACATTATCATTGTAGCCATTTCCAGGTCTCTTCTGTGTTTACAGATGTGCCGGTAACATTCTCTAAATGTTTTATGCGTAGGATGGTCTGCTAGATGGCACCGAATGAGCATTGTTACCGCCCTCTTGGTAGCTGTCCATGTAGCCCCAGATTGGCTCGTTAATTTCGTACTTGTATGCTGTCTTTGGTTGTCTATAATGGTGTCCTTCTCTGGAAAAGAAATGTTTATAACATTTTATAAACATATTTTATAGATCGTTGGAAATTTTTGCACCTCATCCGTCAAATTTCTGCACGGTAACAGACTAACAGGGGATGTTATTTCGTATAAAAAAATTAATTTAAACAAACGTTGATTTTGCATTGCGAAAGTTCCGTGTCACTAGTAAAAGTTAGTACAAATATAAGCTTATATAGTTCAAACAAAAAAAGCAAGAAACAAAGTTCCTTATACCTGTATTTGTACTCGTAACCACTGCTCCTCTTGGATGCCTCAGCAGCCTCCGCACGATCTGTGGCTAACAGCGTGCCCTTTGCATAGCCGCGGCTGGCAATTGACAAGGAACTCTTCCTGTTGCCCCTTCCCTTTAGCTGTCCTCTGGTGATTGGTCCATAGTGGGAAGTTGTAAAATATTCAGGAGCCGTCGTTGCGTAGAACCGTTTGCCATATGCTGGTTCTGGGGCATCATGTGATGATGGCTGGGCGGGCTGATATGCTGGTTCCGGGGCATCATATGATGATGGGCGGGCGGGCTGGTATGCTGGTTCCAGGGCACCGTATGATGGCTGGACGGGCTGGTATGCTGGTTCCGGGGCACCGTATGATGGCTGAGCGGGCTGGTATGCTGGTTCCGGGGCACCGTATGATGGCTGGGCGGGCTGATATGCTGGTTCAGGGGCACCATATGATGGCTGGGCGGGCTGATATGCTGGTTCAGGGGCATCATATGACAAAGAATGGGCGGGTTGGTATGCTGGTTCAGGGGCATCATATGATGTCTGGGCGGGCTGGTATGCTGGTTCTGGGGCACCATATGATGGCTGGGCGGGCTGGTATGCTGGTTCTGGGGCACCATATGATGGCTGGGCGGGCTGATATGCTGGTTCAGGGGCACCATATGATGGCTGAGCGGGCTGATATGCTGGTTCAGGGGCACCATATGATGGCTGGGCGGGCTGGTATGCTGGTTCCAGGGCACCGTATGATGGCTGGGCGGGCTGGTATGCTGGTTCTGGGGCACCATATGATGGCTGGGCGGGCTGATATGCTGGTTCCGGGGCACCGTATGATGGCTGGGCGGGTTGGTATGCTGGTTCAGGGGCATCATATGACGAAGACTGGGCGGGTTGGTATGCTGGTTCAGGGGCATCATATGACGAAGACTGGGCGGGCTGGTATGCTGGTTCTGGGGCACCATATGATGGCTGGGTGGACTGGTTTGCTGGTTCCAGGGCACGATATGATGGCTGGGCGGGCTGATATGCTGGTTCTGGGGCATCGTATGATGGCCGGGTGGGCTGGTATGCTGGTTCAGGGGCATCATATGACGAAGACTGGGCGGGCTGATATGCTGGTTCCGGGGCATCGTATGATGACTGGGTGGGCTGATATGCTGGTTCCGGGGCACCGTATGATGGCCGGGTGGGCTGGTATGCTGGTTCTGGGTCATCATATGATGACTGGGCGGTCTGGTATGCTGGTTCCGGGGCACTGTATGATGATGACTGGGCAGTCTGATATACTGGCGTAAGTGGAGTTTGATCCAGATATGTTGGAACAGAGACTCCATCATAGCGTGGTGAAGGTCGGTAGTCCTGGGTGGCACTGTCCTCGCTGCTGGCGCCATCTGTTGTACTGCTGCTGTAACTACCGTAGCTGGGAACGTCGTAAGATCGTACCTGTATGACAACAATTAACGTAATTAATCATTGTAAAGTGATCTTCAGTTCGATGGAGATTCAGCCTGCATGTGAGCATCGCACATGCAAAAATAGCGTGATCTAATTCATATATGCTACACGTGAAAATACGTGCGTCTACTTGTCTGCTTTAACTGATGCCACGTAAGTCACTATATCTAGCCTCGACCGCTAATAGTTGCAATGCGGCTTTAATATCGTGACGAGGCCCAAAACACGGACCTGCACGAAATCAAGATATTGGTAATAATATTTATATATATTTATATTATTTTATATTAATAAATATTTATAAGAAAAGCAAGTTATGGATCGCACGAGTACGTATTGCCACCGACATTGCATGAGATCTCGCGTGCACGAGAAGTTGGAGGCCTCACATAATAAGCTGTCACTATTACGATAGGAAAGAAATCGTAAAAAAACGTAATCCGTAGCATGACCGCGAGAGCTTCGTGACAACCCGGAAAGTTTCGGTTCTATCGTTGAACACTGCGATGAATACTCACTGGTTACTAACTCACCTCGTAGCTGGGCTCGCTTCTGCTTCCATAGCCACCCTGGTTAGACCGGTACGTTACGGGGACTGGGATTATGTCATGCGACACGACAACTGGGGCCAACCGATGGGACTGAGGGGCTAACTTAGGTTCGTAGGACTGTAAAACTGGAGCAGATTCATAAGAGCTGGAGGCAGGTCCGTATGTAGGCCTACGCAGCACCGGCGGCGCGTACGAGCCCGATCGCACGCCGGAATCATAGCTAGACTCGGCCTTCTCATTCGAGCTGGTTTCGTAAGACGCGGCGACCGGCCCGGAGGACGCAGCCGCAGAGACAGCGCGTCGGTAACCGCTGCTCCACGGATCCGCGTACGCAACACCGACGAGAACGGCGACAACGATGACGATTTTCATTTTCTACAAAAAAAAATTAACAAAATTAGTTGATAACGAAAGCATGTGAGCTAACTCTCACCAGCGATGTGTCCGTAATCCTGCAGTAATCGAACAGAGAAGAGCATTCACCGCCGAGCAGAAATTCGAACAAACGAAGAAAATTCAGGGAACGATTTAACAAGACAAACAGCAGGCGTGATGCACACTAGCACGGGGTTTCTATATGGACGCACGCTGGCATAGACTGCCTTCACTCGATCGAGTCGATCCTCACACCGCTGTGTGTCGGCACATACGTACAGAGAACACGCTAGCTTTGTGTTTCCTCCAGGTATATCTGATGTAATCCTGTTGACACGAGGGATCGGCGAAAGCCTGTGTGAAGAATGAAACCCATCGCAGATCCGAGCGGCTTATATAGAGGAGATTCGATCTCAGCGGCACAGTTATACACACAAGACAAGCGAGAGTTGGTGAGCGGAAAACACCGGTTGAGGAAACACAGCGAACTGCTTGTCTTCCGCAACAAAAAAATGCCAACCGTTTCTCTTGCGATAACAAGCGCGCTACGGGAAACTAGGGCAGCGAACGCCACTGGTGTTTCTGCTGCTACTGCTGCTACTGCCGCTGCCGACGCCGCTGCTGGTGCTTGATGGTGATGGTGGTGGTAATGCTGCTTCTGTCGTTTCTGCTGCTACTTCTACTACTGCTGCTATTACTGCTGCTATTATACTGCTGCTATTACTGCTGCTATTATACTGCTGCTATTGCTGCTGCTCCTGTTGCTCCTGCTGCCGCTGTCCATACCTATCATGAATCGCAGTTCTCATAAGAAATCAATCTAAAACCAATATAACAACATACAAGTTGTATTTTTACCGGTTCTCTCTCATTCTCTCTCTCTCTCTCTCTCTCTCATGCCCTCACTCGCTCTCTTTCTCTCTCCCTCTCACGCCCTCACTCGCTCACTTTCTCTCTCCCTCTTACCTCTCTCTCCCTCTCTCCTTCTCGTTTTCCATCGCACCCCTCTCTTTCTCAATCTTCCCTCTCTCTCTCTGTCGCCCCTTTCCCCCTCTCTCGCTCTCTTTCTCTCTTTCCCTCTTACCCCTTTCTTTTGTTTCTCTTTGTCTACATATGTCCCAATAGCCTTTCGGTTTCGTCCCACTTCGCGTGTCGTTGGCACTGACTGTGCGACCGAGCTTGAAGGACATCACATCAAGAGAAAGCGGTCAGCGCGAAGCGTAATCACCCCAATACACACACACAACACAAGCACCCACACACACACACACACACACACACACACACACACACACACATCACTACACAGCACACACACAGGGGGCCAGCTCGCACACACACACGCACCACACTACACACACGACGACACGACCATACGCACGCACGCACCGCACGCCACGCTACGCACGCACGCGCGCGCAGCACAGCACACACACACACACAGATACGCGTCGTATGCCATCCGCAGCCCTCCCGACAGGACGAGTTCTATCTCGGCCGTCGATGACAATGGCGTCGGCTGTTCCGCGGACGACAACTATCCCTGCTGTTCATGCAGCCGGCGAAGCGGTCGTTGACTGAGAGCACGCAGGCGTGCGCAAAATCGTCGGCTGTTCGCGCGCGCCCCGCTGCCGACAAACGTACGCGCGAAGCTTTTTAATGATTGCGGGTTTTTTGTCAACGGGTACATATATAGCAAGGTTTATTTGTTAATGCCCCGTTGAGAATGCGAGCTGGCGGTTATGAATGAGGGGGGGGGGCTCGTCTTTTGTTTTGCTATGCTACGCAGATAACTTAATGATAAATTTACCGCATCGCGAAAACGTTTCCTATCGCATTATCTCGACGCCTGACGACGTTTTTGCGAAAGAAAAGGAAACGCCCGCGACTGGACTAATTTTGTAATGGATGAATGTCGTAGACGGATAGACGACTACTATGGTATGGCACGTCTGTAAAAAACTACGCTTCAAGAATGTCACAGCCGATGGGGCAAAATAATGATATAATATAGGTGACATTAATCCTCTAATATCTAGAGCTGTATCTACCTATATCTCTTTCTCTTGTTTGCTCGTGCCTCTTCTTCTCTTTCACACACAATTACGCACACACACTCTATTCTTCTCCCTACCCGCGGACTAGCCGAGCCCGGACGGGCATGGTCCGACTATCCCTCTCGCCATTCCGCCCCCCCGCTCTCGGGGGCGGGCGTCTCTCTCTCTCTCTCTCCTCTCGTCTCTCTCTCGTCTTCTCTCTCTTGCCTGTCGCATCTCCTGCACCTGCGGCCAGACTCTCCGTCTCATCCCCGCTGCCTCTCGCGTGCTCCTCTCCTCTCTGCCTCTCTCCTCTCTCCTCTCTCTCTCTCGCCTCTCGCGTCGTCGCTCTCCGTCAGCTCTCTCTCCTCTCTCTCTCTCTCTCTTCTCTCGCGCTCTCTTTTTTCTCGCTCCTCTGCTCTCTTTCTGCTCTCGACTCTCTGCTCGCTCTGCTGCTCTCTCTCTTCTCTCTCTTCTCTCTCTCTCTCATCTCTCTCTCATCTCTCTCTTTCCTTCGCTTGCTGCTCTCTCGCTCTCTGCTCCTCTCTTTCTCCCTCCTCTCTCTCTCCTCTCTCGTCTCTCTCGTCTGTCTCTCTTCTCTCTCTCTCTCTCCATTTCTCTCTCCCTCTCTCTTTTTTTTCTCTTCTCTCTCTCTTCTCTGCTCTCTTTCTCTCTCATCTCTTCTCTCTCTCTTCTTCTTTCTCGCTCTCGTTTCTGGCTCTCTCTCTCATCTCGCCTCGTTTGCTCTTTGCTCTTCCTTGCTCCTGCTCTCTCACTCTCTCCTCTCTCCTCTCTCTCTCTCTCTCTCTCTTTCTCATCTTCCTCTCTCTCTCTCTCTCTCTCGCGCTTCTCATTGCTCGCTTCCCTTTTCTCTCTCTCGTTTTCTCTCTCTCTCTCTTTCTCTCTCTCTCTCTCTCTCTCTCTCTCTCTCTGTTCCTTTTTTTCTCTGTCACTCTCCCCTGTCATATCAAACAAGGTCACGTTTATGTAGCTAAAACTACTGTATTGCGTGATCTTGCTAACCTAACTCCTAGCTTTTCGATATATAGGATAACGTGACTGGCTCATTAATTATTCTGCTCATCCTCGTGTTTATTCGCCAGGCGGAATTTCACAACTAATTGAAATATGAACAGGCATCGCGTGTTATATAATCATACCTATTCGTGGACAAATGTGAATTCCTTCCGCCGTAACCAGCTCATATATTTTTCCGCGTCATTTCGTAATAACGATGTTTGACAGAGAGAGAGAGAGAGTTCGATCCGTACAAAGGTTAAACAACGGTGTCATTCATCTATACGTAATCATGCCGATTAGGACGATAAGCGGTTGGTTACAGAGGTAATTATGCAGGTGTAATGCGTGTTGATGTGGGCGCGGGTTCTACACATACTATGCTTTGGTAACGTAATCATTCTGGTGTAGTTGTTTGTAGCCCAAAACTCCGGGATTAAGTCGGCCCAGCCAGCTATACAATTGCGTAATTATGTTCGATCGCCAATGTTTGATGCTAAACTAGCTGAATGAATATTGTGTTATTAACCGCGAGAGTGAGAGACGGGGAATAGGAAAGGGAGGATGGCAGGACGGGGGGAGGGAGAGACGGAGGGAGGTAAGTGCGGAGAAAGGGGAGGCAGAACGGGAGGCAGGGAGGCGACCGTATACATTTGATCTACTTTTTAATAAAATTTGCTCTAGCACGTGCGCGCGGCCAACCCTCCACGTGACGTCAACATCATGCGCAAGGCCCGCGTCGCTGTTTTTTTGTCGTCGGAGTGACGCAACAATGCCGTCGCTTGTTCTGTCGGCTGGCTGGCCGGGGGCGCTGTCGATAGAAGACTATTCCGTTGTTCTGCTCTCTTCTCTGTGTTACGGGGATGCCTAGTGGATAATCTCACCGCGCGTAAACCCACTCTCGCGTACGCACGATATAAAATGCTGACACGGAGGCGGGACCTGGGCCTATAAAAGAGCGGAGAACGCAACGACGCTACGAGCATTACGTTTAAGACAGCGACAACGGTTGCGCGCGCAGCCCAGGAACAGCGACGATGTGAGTATTAGAATATGACCCGACGTGCGTAATATTAGCAGAACGTAATTTATCCGCTGATATATATTGTGCATTTTTAGTATATCTACTATCTCTCAATAGTAGGTAAGATTTTCCCGTCGTTTTTTTATTCTTGTTTGTCAGTAGATTGTACTTGTCTAGACGGCTATTGTGTTTGTATGTCTATAATAGGCGTGTTCACACACAAGAAAAACCGCGATGCTAATCGCGATGGAAATACCGAGATAATTGTGTCGTTGTTCACACAGGCGGAAATATCTCGCTAGTCGCCGAGCGGGATAATTCTATTAATCGAACTGCGCATGCTCACTGCCGGATGTTGATACGATCGCTTGGAATGATGGGATAGAAAATACCGGGATTATTTGCACGAGCGTTCACACACACGCCGCGGTGCAAATAATCGCGCTAATTCCAAATAATCGCAGTCAAAAGTGCGATTTGCAGCGCGATGCTGATCGCGATACTTAGTGAGATTTTTGCGTTCACACTCGTAAAAATCTCGGTATTTCGATCGCGATACAAAAACCGAGATTTGCATCCCGCTAATTCCCGCCAGTGTGAACGCGCCTAATATATAGAAGCATGTATAGCCTCTAAATAATGCTAATGCTAATAGTAATCAATAAATATAACAATAAAATTAAGTATAATTATAAAGCTTATAAATTAAAAATAAATTAATATTAAAATAAATAAAAAAAATAAAACTAAGGTATATGAAATGAAATCAGAATTAAAATTGAAGTTAAATTTGAACAAATGATAAAACTAATAGCAAATAAATAAAAAACCAAGCCTGCTCGATCCCATTTTAAATTGCCTAGAACGCAATTGACTTTTGCATGGCTACCTGTGATTCACTACTCAGTAACTGTATTAACAGTGTATTAATTTCAATCGCAAATTATTCAAATTCGTCTCTCGAAATCAATTTAACATCTCGTATCGGTTGCAGACAAACATGAGGTTCGCTATCGTCATCGTCGTCTTCGTTGGTGTCGTCGCGGCGAAGACATATGAGGAGCAGAAGTACCCGTATGAAAGCAACTATGAGACCGCACCCACTCGTCACAGAGAAGAGGTTTAGCAGCTATATATATAGTATATATATATATAGATATATATATAAATTTAAATATATATACGTATATATTTATATTATTATATTATATCAGAAGTTGATAATAGGGAACCCCCTATTATCTATTATCTACGTATTATCTACTTAGTTCCCTATTATCTACTTCTGATATATATGTGTATAGAGCCATAGCTAGTGCGGGAGTGTGTTGAAATCTATTAGAATTCTCGTAGCGCTTTCGTGAGAAATCCACGGTGATTTTTGCACGGCAATGTTATAATGAAATCTACGGCAAGTCTTGTTGGAATGACGATGTTCCTGTGGCATCACGCATGAAACGAGATCCGTCTTTGTCTTGTAGTTGCATATTTCTACTTCGTTTGATTAGCCCAAAGGTCCGAGTGGATATGAGCGACCACGTCCGGTCACCTACCGGGAGGTGACGATGATATACACGGAGCCGAAAGAAGAGGAAACTGAGACTGCCGACAACGTCGCAGAGCCCTACGAAGAACAGAGCTACGACGACCAGAGAATCGGGGGTGTTCCCGTCTACGAGACCCTGGCCCGAGAATATGGCGAATCTTCGCAATATGCTGCACCCTATAAAAGGCAGGAGTACGTTGCACCTTCTTATGAAAGGCAGGAGTACGCTGCACCCTCATATGAAAGGCAGGAGTATGCTGCACCATATGAAAGGCAGGAGTATGCTGCACCCTATGAAAGGCAAGAGTATGCTGCACCCTATGAAAGGCAGGAGTATGCTGCACCCTCCTCATATGAAAGGCAGGAGTATGCTGCACCCAATGAAAGGCAGGAGTATGTTGCACGTTCTTATGAAAATCAGCAGTATGCTGCACCTTCCTACGAAAAGCAGGAATATGTTGCACCTTCATATAAAAGGCAGGAATATGCTGCACCTTCTCAAGACCCACCGGCGTATGCTGCACCACAACAGGATTATCCTGCACCAGCCGCCGCACTAGAAGTCTACTCTGCCCCTACCCGGAGTTACGGAACCCCCGCAGTAGAAGTCTACTCTGCCCCTGCCCAGAGTTACGGAACCCCCGCAGCAGAAGTCTACTCTGCCCCTGCTCAGAGTTACGGAACCCCCGCAGCAGAAGTCTACTCTGCTCCTGCCCAGAGTTACGGAACCCCCGCAGCAGAAGTCTACTCTGCCCCTGCTCAGAGTTACGGAACCCCCGCAGCAGAAGTCTACTCTGCCCCTGCCCAGAGTTACGGAACCCCCGCAGCAGAAGTCTACTCTGCTCCTGCCCAGAGTTACGGAACCCCCGCATCAGAAGTCTACTCCGCCCCTGCCCGGAGTTACGGCGTTGTTCCCGCTCAACGTTACGGAGCGGCGGGCTACGAGACGCCCCAGTTGGGCGGTGGCTACACGCAGGCTCCGGAGTTCTTCACTACGGCGAGCTACGGCCCGATTACGCGCGGCGGCCTGAGAGGCGGCGGCGAGAGAAGCAGCGCGCTCAGATTCTCCCGCCATGGGGCGGCTAAGGGTTCGCTGTTCGCGCGGGACCACGCGCAGGCGACAGAGGACGCGCGGAAGACGCGGGGTTATCACTACCAGTACAGGTGAGTGGGAACACAGAGAGTTTCACGTGGAGTTGTCGAGCAGGTGTGGGTGGTGTGTGTGTGTGTGTGTGTGTGCGTGCGCGCGCGCGCGTGTGTGTGTAAGGGGGGAGGGGGTCCCATTCACACGGGCCGTGACCATAAGAGGGAGTTGTATGTACCGCCAAGATGGTAGCGTCGTCATATCTAATGTACGCGCTGAACATATCGTCAACTTAATACGTCTTAATGTGGTTTCTTGCTACAAACTAGATTTTACTCGTCCTACGTACTGGATCTCAGTGTGAGCACGTGTGCACAAGACGTGTCTAACAGAAGCAAGGTGCCGCCGTGCTATGCTAATTGACTAGCATCCCGTAGCGTAGATGTGCTCTTCCTCCGCATCTAGTTCGGTGTAGGACCAAATTTTCCAGTTTGTACGGGTTAATACACGCGGTTACTTTCCACGAGAAACGAGACGTCAGTTACACGAGGTGGGTGATTAATTCTGCTGTCATTACCTTGCAGAGAAGGACACGAGTACACGCAGCCGAAGACGCTCTATCACTATGATATTAAGGAGCCTATCTGGGGATACGCCGACGTCTACGATAAACCTTCACACGCACACGGACGTGCTTAGATGAGCCCGTAACGTCATCTTTCACCTGCGTCTGCTTGCAGCGCTGTGTACACGACTGAAGGCACGGGTGGCGGTTATTCCACGGATGCGAAAGGAAAGGGATAAGAGCTAGATCATTTTAATCATCTGAGAACTGGAAAATACGAATTAAAATTTTAAAAATAATGATTTTTAGAAGAACCGTGTGGAACTAAAGAAAATGTATTCGACTTCCATTCGAACGTTTCGTCTGCGATGACGTCACTCTCACTTTCGCTCTCGAAATTTACTGCATGGTGTGATGCCCGCTGCTGTATTAGACTACATTGTATTGACACAAGGTTTTTTAATGAAGAAAGGACATTTATTCAACTTTATTTTCGCGTTGTAAATATAATAAGCGGGTCACCGCTATTTTATTCGATTTATGGATGGCCTTAGAAACGTCACAATTGCTAAGCGATGTGAATAACTTAACGTTATATATATATATATATAATATAATTATGCTGTTATCGGGAAATATGTGATCACGTTTAACGTACTCTAATGTTAGTACTAACTCGTTTGTAGGGAATATATGGGATTTAAAGTGTATGGATTTGAATTGAAATAAACAATACCATTACAATGGCAAACAACATAATGAGAGGGAGAGTGCGTGATTTTATGTACATTACTAGTCCACCTGTACAGCCTTTCCACACATCGCAGCACGCACGAATAATTTTCTTAATCCCAAAAGTAAATGTGAAGTACTTATGCGGTATGAGCTAAGAAGTCGTATCACTGGAGGAGTTAGAGAGAGTTAGAAAGAGAATATATAGAACGCGACGGTCGTTCAATGACGCGCGCCCATTATAATTGTTGACACACAGATTGTTTACTAATCGTTGATTGCTCACCCACGTTGTGATTACATGTGATTGCTATCATTACAAACAATTATTTACGAGACAAGTCCACGCACATGGAACTCGTGATCTCCATTGCTTTTCACTTTTTTCTCTCTGGTACACTTAGACGGGGACCGAGCTTGTATCGCACCTACTATACACAGCGCAGTGTAGGATGTATAACAACATGAGAAATCGTGTGACGGGGGGAGGACTAACAACACATCGGAGACAACGAGGGCACACACATCAGTGGAGCGGGCAAAGGTTTATGGGTCTGTACTCTAAATAATAGACGGAATCAAAAGCAGATTATACTCACATGCGTTCCCTTTAATACGAAACAAACCGGGATAATAATTATTGAAATATTTCACAATGCTGACTTTGTACGCAGTCAGGCACGCACGCGCAAACACATGTACCACATAAGGTTACCTAAAATATTAAGTGGCATATCGCGCGGTGCATAGAATGCAAGCGAAACAGGTCAATCAACTCAAACATGACAGTAGATCAATCATTATCCGACCAGGTTTCCTTTAATGACTTCGTTGTTGAGATATGTACGTAAGATGAGTCACGCGCTGCATATACTGACATCGCCATGATCAGCCGCATCATCGGCGTGTAGTATATATGCCGTGTTCGTTTATTTATAGTTTTATATACATTTCTTAGGTAGGCAAGGAACGTAGGCAGAGTGAGAGCGGGATAGATATAGATATATAGATAGATAGAGAGAGAGAGAGAGAGAGAGAGAGAGAGAGCGAGAGGAGAGAGATGGGAGGGGAGGGAGAACAGCTCAGAAGAAAATGACAAGAAAGTATATTATATAAAACAAATGCGAGCAGGCGTCCACAAGCAGTTTATTTCTCAGACCGGCTAAGCCTCAACTTGAATCAGCCCAGCTAGCCAGTGACGTCACTGGCGTACGTATAAACACAGTAGTTCGCAAGCACGATCACCAGTGACAACGCTCAGCCTGCCCATCCGTCCGTCCGCGATACAAAAAAGAAACAAAACTTGAACATGATTCACCGTGATAAGATTCGACCGTGGGGATGCGGGGACGACACGCGTCTCGCTTTCACACGCACAGACCCGCGGGGGTCGCCCGAGACATCCGAGACCCGTCGGATCATGCGAGACACGTGAGACGGGTCCGCCGTACTCACGCAACCTTCCCCAAGTGACCTCCACGCGACCCCTCAAACAATAGAGATGCAACGCGATTAGAAGCCCCGCGCACGCACGCAGCTTCCGCACTCTCTGACGTCCATCGCACCTATCGCGTCGCCACGGCGACGGCGACCGCTTCCTCGAATCGTCGACGAAAAAAGCAGAAGGCGGCAGCAGAGTCGACCTCGCGAATAATAGGTCTGGCAGACGACGCCCCTCGGTGGCATTTCTACGTCGGCGCTGTCGTCAAACGCGCGTGCAGCAGCGGCAGCAATGATGGCGACGCGTGTCACACGAGCGTGATGCCGGCGCGCTGCAGGTACGCCTGCAGAAACTGCGCCGCGTTCGCCTGCAGTCCTGCTGTCACCTTCGGACTCACCTGCGGACAAGGGAAAGAATGCGCGTGACCGACGCGCTAACAGGGCAAGCTAACGGAATAAGTCATCACGTAGGACCGCCATCTAGATAGCTTGTTCATACTATACTACAGTAACTTTCTACTATGTGACTGAGAACGACAACTACTACGACATGAGAAGAAAACAAAATTAGGTACACGCACTAGTCCATAAGGGAGGGAGCATAAGTGTAATATACCATAATAACTTTAATCGAAAACCACACTAAAACTTTTTGAGCCGAACTGGCTAACTTTTACATATTTTACTATTAGTTATATAGTAGAAAATCGCGATTTTCCAAATCAGATCAAAAACATCATAAATAATTACGACATCACAAGCCCTAAAAATGTCACAACCTTTGCACAATACTTCACTCTGGCATTTCAAACTCACGACGTTGTAACTAACTCCGACATTCCCGAAGATGCCCCCCTCATCCCCTCCCCTCCTCTCCTCTCCTCTCCCCGGTTTCCTCCTCCTCCCCCATCCCCTCCCCTCCCCGGTTTCCTGCTCCGGCTCGCAATGCGCGTAGCTTCCCGGGAAACCTACGATGTCGTAACTACCCACAACATTCCTCACAATGAATGCCCCTTCTCCCCTCCTCCTCCCCATCCCCTCCCCTTCCTCCCCGCCCCGGTTTCCCGCTCCGGCCCGCGTACCTGTCCGGGGAACTGCGTGCTGAGCTTGTGCAGCTGCTTGGCTAGGTAGAGCTTTGCGTCGGGTACGCTGCCCTCGAACAGGTCGTGCTCGGGCTTGCCGGCGAACACAAGCTGCGAGTAGGCCGTCTGGTAGGCGGGCGTGTCGTCGATCTCGATGAAGTGTTCATCGTCGGGCAGCGTGTCATCGGTCGGAAGCTCAAACAGACCGATGAGCGCCTGCAGCAGTGACGGCCTGCGCGCGCGCGTGTGCGGAAGAGAGAAGCAAACACGATACGATAAACCATCCGCAAATGACTGTGCGTCGCGTGTAATCAGGGTTACCGTGAGTTATGGAGAGATCAGGATTAGCATGTAATCAGGATTAGCATGTAATCAGGATTAGCGCGAGTTAGGAGAGATCAGGATTAGCATGTAATCAGGATTAGCGTGAGTTAAAAGAGATCAGGATTAGCGTGTAATCAGGATTACTGAGAGTTAGAAGAGATCAGGATTAGCATGTAATCATGATTACTGAGAGTTAGGAGAGATCAGGATTAGCGTGTAATCAGGATTAGCATGTAATCAGGATTAGCACGAGTTAAGAGAGATCAGGATTAGCATGTAATCAGGACTAGCGTGAGTTAGGAGAGATCAGGATTAGCATGTAATCATAATTACTGAGAGTTAGGAGAGATCAGGATTAGCGTGTAATCAGGATTAGCATGTAATCAGGATTAGCATGAGTTAAGAGAGATCAGGATTAGCATGTAATCATGATTACTGAGAGTTAAGCGAGATCAGGATTAGCGTGTAATCAGGATTACTGGGAGTTAGGAGAGATCAGGATTAGCGCGTAATCAGGATTAGGAGAGATTAGATCAGTGTTGCTAATGTAGTACCCCTAACCTTGGCTTGGTAACTCTTGTCGACGCCTGACCCATACCACGATGAACTTAATTATGGGACATTCGTATCGCGTTAATGCTGGGTACTACGCTATAACGCTTAGCACAGAAGAAGACTCCGGTTTCGCAATTCACATTCCAACGCACAATTCCACATGCACAGGCTGATATGTCAATTGTACTTCGATCTCTCTATCCAAGGATTGTACAGCCAAGTGAGCAGAGTAATACAAACTAAGAAAAGAGCCCCAAAAAAAAGGCAGGAAAAAACCGGCAAAAGTGAATAAAGAAGAAGAGCACGGCTACTAACCAGAACTGTGCGTAGTCTCCCTGAAAGATGGCCGGACACTCGGTGAGTAGCCGCGTCATGCCCACGGCGCAGATCTTACGCTCCACCTGTCCCGTGACCTTCTGAACCTCGGCGACATACAGTCTCTCCAGCACCATGCCGAACATCCTGCAAACAAGCGCACTAGCTGTCGCTCAATGCTCAGAAGCACACGCAGACGGTGATAGCGCG